TAATCAGTCATTATAGCAGTGCTCACTTTTATTCAAAACAAACATCGTCCAATAACACTGCTTGTTCAAAAATGCCGGTTCACGTAAGGATGGAATTCAAAAAAAGATGAGCACAGAAGTACACGAAAAACGAAACAATGAAAAAACATTTCTTTTTTTTAACTTACAACGATGAAAAGACATATTTTAAAAAAAAGGCTGTGTTGAGAAAAGGCTGGGAATGCCAATCAGTGGAAATCAATGTATCTTTTTATGTGTCCACTAATTGGGCTCAACTCACCTGTACGTTACAAAGCTATATCATCAATTCGCTAAGATCCCCGGACAATTGATCCGAGAATCTCAAAAACGATAATAAAATGTCATCAAAACCGCCAGGATAATCGGTATGCGACCTTAAAACGATACTAAAATTCACTAAAGTGCCCGGATAATCGATACTGGGATTCCAAAATGCGGTAAGACCGCCCGAAAAACTGTAAGAGAATCTTAAAAACGATAGGGACAAGAAAACTCGATCAGATCTAACAGAGATTACCGACTGCAATCGGTAATCGGACGAAATACCGAACGCCAATTCTCGGCAGCGTTCTGAATAATCCCCGTCATGTTCAAAAACACCAGATACCCAAATCTTCCCGAATCACTAATGTTTCAAAGCCTTTTAAAATCGTTTAGTACATTTTTATGTGCCAGAAATATTACTTAGTGCATCCGGGTCATGGAAAAAATAAATAGCGATGCACAACAAGGTAGCCGGTACGATCATGAGTTTTGAGCAGTTCCGTCCAGCGGACGTTTGCTTACTAAAAATATAACTGCTTTACACTTTCGTATATGGAGAAAAAACAGATATGCTGTCTGGCTCCTAAGTTGAGGAATTTCTCGCTGAAAATTTCATGTGCCGGTACGTGAAAGCTGAATTTGAAAAAATGGATGGGGAACATCGTTCCAAATTTCAACCTTGTATTTTTTCAGCTTCCGAGCTAGCGACTTCAACAA